GGTGATGGTAGCGAGTTTGGTGATGGTAGCGAGTTTAGTGATGGTAGCGAGTTTGGTGATGGTAGCGAGTTTGGTGATGGTAGCGAGTTTGGTGATGGTAACGAGTTTGGTGATGGTAGCGAGTTTGGTGATGGTAACGAGTTTGGTGATGGTAGCGAGTTTGGTGATGGTAGCGAGTTTGGTGATGGTAGCGAGTTTGGTAATGGTAGCGAGTTTGGTGATGGTAACGAGTTTGGTGATGGTAGCGAGTTTGGTGATGGTAACGAGTTTGGTGATGGTAGCGAGTTTGGTGATGGTAGCGAGTTTGGTAATGGTAGCGAGTTTGGTGATGGTAACGAGTTTGGTGATGGTAACGAGTTTGGTGATGGTAACGAGTTTGGTGATGGTAACGAGTTCTGTAAATTGTTAAAACTTTTTCTTTCAGGTTACATTCGGTTAGGTTAGGTTAAGTAAAGTTAGGTTAGGTTAGGTTAAGTAAACTTAGGTTAGGTTAGGTTAAGTAAAGTTAGGATAGGTTAGGTTAAGTAAAGTTAGGATAGGTTAGGTTAAGTAAAGTTAGGTTAGGTTAGGTTAAGTAAAGTTAGGTTAGGTTAGGTTAAGTAAAGTTAGGATAGGTTAGGTTAAGTAAAGTTAGGTTAGGTTAGGTTAGGTTAGGTTAAGTAAAGTTAGGATAGGTTAGGTTAAGTAAAGTTAGGTTAGGTTAGGTTAAGTAAAGTTAGGTTAGGTTAGGTTAAGTAAAGTTAGGTTAGGTTAGGTTAGGTTAGGTTAAGTAAAGTTAGGATAGGTTAGGTTAAGTAAAGTTTAGGTTAGGTTAGGTTAAGTAAAGTTAGGTTAGGTTAGGTTAGGTTAAGTTAGGTTAGGTTAAGTAAAGGTAGGTTAGGTTAGGTTGGGTTAGGTTAAGTAAAGTTAGGTTAGGTTAGGTTAGGTTAGGTTAAGTTAGGTTAGGTTAAGTAAAGGTAGGTTAGGTTAGGTTAAGTAAAGTTAGGTTAGGTTAGGTTAAGTAAAGTTAGGTTAGGTTAGGTTAAGTAAAGATAGGTTAGGTTAGGTTAAGTAAAGTTAGGTTAGGTTAGGTTAAGTAAAGTTAGGTTAGGTTAGGTTAGGTTAGGTTGGGTTTTAGGTTAGGTTAGGTTAGGTTAGGTTGGGTTTAAAGTTAGGTTAGGTTAAGTAAAGTTAGGTTAGGTTAGGTTAAGTAAAGTTAGGTTAGGTTAGGTTAAGTAAAGTTAGGTTAGGTTAGGTTAAGTAAAGTTAGGTTAGGTTAGGTTAAGTAAAGTTAGGTTAGGTTAGGTTAAATAAAGTTAGGCTAGGTTAGGTTAAGTAAAGTTAGGCTAGGTTAGGTTAAATAAAGTTATGTTAGGTTAGGTTAAGTAAAGTTAGGTTAGGCTACGTTATACTGGAGTGGGATACAACTCAACCAGTCCGTCAATATATCGTAAACAACACGTGTTAAAGTCTACGGGAGAAGCACGCCATGTTTCACTTACTCTCTCGCATCTAAACATACTACAAAATAATAATAATAATAATAATAATAATAATAATTTAGAATAAACACATTTGATAACAGTTTTTTTCCAACATAAAAACTATTTATATTGTAATATAGTTAATATTGTGCATTTAAGCTATAAATGACCAGTCAATTTGGTGGAATCTCTGCACTAAACACTGACCCAAAAAAAAATTAAGTCTCATGTATATACGATTCCCATCCATTTCTCTATATCCCGAGTAGTTTATTAAAACAAATTATTATTATTATTATTATTATTATTATTATTATTATTATTATTATTATTATTATTATTATTATTAGATTAAATGGCGTGTTAACGATAACTATGAAAACAAAAACACAGGCTGAAGAAATTTCTTTTTGTGACAACTTATCGCTCTGTGTAGAGCTTCATCAAGTCCTTAATAAAGCTCTACACACGCGTAAGTTTGAGCTTGGAGCATGAGCTGGGTGGAAGGTAGTAATAATGTGTGTCGTCCACAGAGTGCACTCAGGACGCACTAGAGGCCATGGGTAACCGCATGCTCGACTGGTTCTCCGTCATCATGGCCGACGCTCGCAGCCGATCCAAGGCTGTCACTAAAGGTAAGAAGGCAACATCAGCCTGGAAGTTTCTGTGTGAATATGTCACTTGTGATTTGGAGCGATTTTCACTATTCACTTTATTTAGGTTAGGTATTTTTTTACGTCACATAACTTACCACAACGGTAATAAATGAAATATAAGGTGAAGGTGATGAAAAGGGAAACCGAGGTAGAAGACTCATAAGTCAGAAAATTACTGTTTAAGTCTCATTAGTCACCGAGCTGACTGTGACAGCAAAAGTGATATACTATCTCTTGACGTTCTCTCAGCCAAGAACAATACAAATTCACAATATATGTGGCTGGAAGGAATCATAAATATCCTATACTTAGAAGACAAAACTTATGATGACATGTAGGTTCATCCCTTACCATTGTCAAGTTACAACTGAGCGAGATAAAGCAGAGATGTCCAGAAGACAGGAGGGGAGAGAGGGAGAAGGAAGTAGTGGTGGTGGAGGTGGTGGTGGTGGTGATGGTGGTGGTGGTGGTGGTAGTAGTAGTAGTAGTAGTAGTAGTAGTAGTGGTAGTAGTAATCGTAGTACTAATGGTAGTAGTGGTGGTAGTAGTAGTGGCAGTAATATCAGTAGTGGTAGTAGTAGTAGTAGTAGCAGTAGTGGTAACGGTAATAGTGGTAGTAGTAATAGTAGTAGTGGTAGTAGTAATAGAAGTAGTGGTGGTGGTAGTAGTGGTAGTAGTAATAGTAGTAGTGGTGTCGGTAGCAGTGGTAGTAATAGTAGTAGTAGCAGCAGTGGTAGCAGTAGTAGTGGTAGTAGTAGTAGTAGCAGTAATAGTAACGGTAGTAGTGGCAGTAGTAGCAATAGTAACAGTAGTAACAGTAGTAGTAGTAGTGATACCACCAACACCACCACCACTCCTTCCTCTCCGCCAGTCTTCCGACCTCTCCGCTACCTCACTTGGTTATAACCTCACAATGGTCCAGTAAGTTTCCTCACCAAAGTGCGGGTCATTTGCGAGTTCGTCAACCACATTGTCTCTTCCTCCCTTCGAGACTGCACACTGTTGTTGAGGCCTCAGACTACGACAGATTATTCTGGCTCACGCATCGTACCTCTGTTTAGCTTATTTTAACTTGATGAGTTGTAGATTTTTTGGCAGAAGTGACACGCCCCTGCCCCTGGTGTCACTTTATATTGACACAGCTACCTGTTTGCTGCCTCCACCCCACACACTAAATCTCGCCTTCCCTCTTTCTCCCTTCTCTTATTTGTTCCACTCTCCCTGCGCACCCTAGCGTACAGTAAACGGTGATGTCACTTTCTCACTACTCTCTCTCTCTCTCTCTCTCCCCTCTCTTCTCTCTTCCCCTCTCTCTCTCCCCTCTCTCTCTCTCTCTCTCTCTCCCCTCTCTCTCTCTTCCTATTACCCCACCACTATCTTTTCCATATCCTCCCCTTTCTCTCCTCTCTTCCATGTTTTCTCTTACTTCAGAATTCCAAAATATTTACTTTTCACCTTCATCTATCTCTTCTCTCTCTCTCTCTCTCTCTCTCTCTCTTTTCTCTCTCCTTCCCCTCTCTCTCTCTCTCCTCTCTCTCCCTCTCTCTCTCTCTCTCTCTCCCTCGAGTCTCTCTTCCTTCCCCTCCAGCTCCTCTCCTGCACTTGTTCTCCAGCTACCGGTCACCTGACACCACCACACACCTGTCACCTCTCATATCATCTTCAGTCACATTCAGGCTTCACCAGTGTTAATTTAATAACAGATTTCATCGTTAAGGCTTTTCTTGTGGCTCCCTTGTCTGCCACATCAATCATCCTTATGTGTCCCTTGTCTGCCACATCAACCATCTTTATGGTTCCCTTGTCTGCTACATAAATCATCTTCGTGTGTCCTGTATCAGCCACATCAATCATCTTCGTGTGTCCTGTGTCTGCCACATCAATCATCTTGGTGTGTCCTGTGTCTGCCACATCAATCATCTTGGTGTATCCTGTGTCTTCCACATCAGTCATCTTGGTGTGTCCTGTGTCTGCCACACCAGTCATCTTGGTGTGTCCTGTGTCTGCCACATCAGTCATCTTGGTGTGTCCTGTGTCTGCCACACTAGTCATCTAGGTGTGTCCTGTGTGTGCCACATCAGTCATCTTTGTGTGTCCTGTGTCTGCCACATCAGTCATCCTTGTAGGTGTCCCTAATCCTCCTCATCAGTCACTCAACACAATCCTCCACCAAATATAATAAATGCTCATAAGAAACAATAGTTTTTATTAAAATACCGTAACTCAAGCTTTGTAACGCCCGAATTACATGAGGGTTACAACGTCTCTGTCGAAGGTCAGAGCACCGAGAGCGAAAAGTTAATGAATTAAACACACACGCACACACACACACACACACCACACACACACACACACACAACACACACACCCCCAAACCACCACACACATGAAGATCGGGGAAGGGCAAAGAAGACAGCAGACGGAGTATAGGCTAGGTGGCCAAAGACTGCAAACCTCGCTCAAGGAGAAAGATCTTGAGGTGAGTATAACATCGAGCATGTCTCCAGAAGCACACATCAGCCAGATAACTGCTGCAGCATATGGGCGCCTGGCAAACCTGAGAATAGCGTTTCGATACCTTAGTATGGAATCGTTCAAGACGCTGTACACCGTGGAGTATGCAGCACCTGTTTGGAACCCACACCTGGTCAAGCACGTCAAGAAATTAGAGAAAGTGCAAAGGTTTGCAACAAGGTTAGTTCCAGAGCTAAGGTGAATGTCCTATGAAGAAAGGTTAAGGGAAATCGGCCTGACGACACTGGAGGACAGGAGGGTTAGGGGAGACATGATAACAACATGCAAAATAATGCGTTTAATAGACAAGGTGGACAGAGCAGGATGTTCCAGAGAAGGACACAGAAACAAGGGGTCACAATTGTAAGTTGAAGACCCAGATGAGTCAAAGGGATGTTAGGAAGTATTTCTTCAGTCATAGAGTAGTCAGGAAGTGGAATAGCCTAGCAAGTGAGGTAGTGGAGGCAGGAACCATACATAGCTTTAAGAAGAGGTATGATAAAGCTCATGGAGCAGGGAGAGAGAGGACCGAGTAGCACTTAGTGAAGAGGCGGGGCCAGGAGCTGAGTCTTGACCCCTGCAACCACAATTAGGGAGTACAATTAGATGAGTACACACACATACAACACAACACACACACCACACACACACACACACACACACACACACACACACACACACACACACACACACACACACACACCACACACACACACACACAAACACACACACACACACACACACACACACACACACAAACGCACACACACAAACACTAAATTAATATCCTCGGAGATATCTTTCACACAAACCAACACTAACAATAATAACAAACACTGACAGAACTTAGATATTAAAAATAGGCTTGAAAAATATTATTTAAAGACAGGTGTTGCAGCCTTCACATAGTGTTAAGCAAGTTACTACACTGTGTGTGTGTGAGAGAGAGAGAGAGAGAGAGAGAGAGAGAGAGAGAGAGAGAGAGAGAGAGAGAGAGAGAGAGAGAGAAAGAGAAAGAGGCCATCGTGCTGTAAGCCGACTGTGTTGCAGCTCCATCGTGGTGCAAGCCAGAGGTTTCGTGGATGTTGGGTCACCTGGACAGTGACGGTGATGGTCGCCTCAGTGTGAAGGAACTCTACCAACTGGAACATGATGACCACGAGCGATGTATTAAACCTTTCATTGATCGGTGCGACCTGGACAGGTAAGCAAACACATTCATCTTATTCACACTCAAATAGAACTCATAATTGAGGCAATCAGGAGAAATTGGTGGTCAGAGGAAATTTGTGGAATGTTACTTTCAACTGGAATATGTATAGTGTATATAAATGTCTAGTTTATCTATAAGAATGTATAATTTCATACAAATCATATATTTTTCTGTACGCAATAAGATAACAGCAAACAGGTGATATCACAACATACAAAATAACAACTGTGAAAAAAATAGTGAATTTATAAGCACTTTCGTGATGTTTCACCTTATCGAGGAATCTTGATAATGTTAGAAATCACGAAATCTCTTGAGAATTCACTGTTTTTTCACAGTGGTTATTTTGTATATTTTTTTCTGTGTGTTATAATAAACTATTACAGAAGGTTACGTTTAATAATATTAACTACGGTATTAACGGGTCTGACATTCAGGTCGGGATGACTTCCTCAGACACACGTCATACACAAAAAAAATTTTACCATTAAAATGAGTTAGCCAATGAATGTGACTGACCTGACTACGTCAAGGCATTGGTTAAAGCCGGTGGGAGAACTGGACCTGCCTCGCATAGGCCAGTAGGCCTTCTGCAGTGTTCATTCATTCTTATGTTCTTAGGTTCTTATGACCGCCAGGAGACTTCATAACATCATGGAAGTTCTGATACTCAAAGAGCCTTAATAAATTACTTACAGAAGTGAAATTAAGGATAATAACTTGCATAATATAGAGAATATTTATACTTAAGACACGTTAGTAGTAATGGCTGAATTACCGACAGAATGTTAGGTAAATGGACACAGATGCAACTAACGCATTTTATTGCAGTAATGGCTTGACTAAGCTTGACTAAGCTTGACTAAGCTCCTGGAGAGCGAAATGTTGCCCCAGTAAAATATCACATTAGTTGCATCTGTATCCATTTATTTAACATTAAGCCATATTTCCTATAAGAACATAAGTTGTTAATAGTCATGCTAAATCTGGTTAAGCTGTTAAGAGTCTTGCTAGATCTGAAATAGCTGTTATATAAAAATCACGGGCGGGAGGCAGAAGTCAGTCACACCGAGAGATAGCAGTCACAGGGCAGAGCGCTGTCTTAAAGCGCCAGGATAACTGGTAGATGACAGGTCATGAGTGCAGACTGACAAACGCACAACAACTCAAGGATGTGAGCAGTAGTTTACGTGGTGTATAACGGTACGATCGTGTTTGTAGGTTTGTCCACTCATGCGTTAGATTGACTGATACCCAAATCTAAGATTACTGTGACACAGCGTATTACAATCAACGTGAACACAGGTGAGGTGGAGACTGGACTCAGTGACTGGTATTGTGTACATTAACACTGATAAAGTTACCATATGTGAAGAGAAGTACGTAATGCGTACACAACAAAGCAAAAGTCGAAATTAGCCATTGTTGTTGTAAAATACTCGATGCTACAACTTTCTTCTTAACCTGGAAGGTCAGAAGTCTCATAGGATGGCCTTGATTCATAGTTTTGATAACGTAAAGCATAATCTAAGAATGAATTGGCTCCATTTGTGTTTTCATCGACGCATTTACATTCTTTATTCTGTAAGAGGATCAATATGTAAAATGGTATCCCACTTGCAGTCTTTAATCTATGTCATAAGGGTCACTTCATGAACTACTGTCATACTTATGACCCGAAATGCATCTAGAAAAAATCAATATATACATTACTGTTCCACTCACAGTCTTTAATCTACATGATAAGACAGTCATTATGTTAACTACTGTCACATTTGCAGTCTTCGTTCTATATAAGATAATCAGTATATGGACCACTTTCAGGGATATCTTCCTATCGGCACGGGAATGGTGCAAGTGTTTCGACAAGTCAGAGCGGCCGTGTGCTGCTCTCCGTAAAGCTAGCAAGGGCTTGCTTGGTAAGTCACTCAACTCACCTCATATGCATTTCTATCTCACTTTTCTGTAGGCTTCCAGATAACTTTATATATATATATATATATATATATAATATATATATATATATATATATATATATATATATATATATATATATATATATATATATATATATATATATATATATATATTTTATAATATATATATAATATATATTATCCTGACTTAATGATGTGTGCAGGAGGACGTATCCTTCACTTACTATTGATCTTGTCAATGTTTGTGTGTGCAAGGTAGGTACAACCTTGATTTAATATTAATAATGCACTGTTGATGTATGCAATCTGGTGCATCATTGACTAATATTGCCCTTGTTGCTTGCACGTATGCAGGGATCCATCCCTGACTTAATATTAATGATGTGATGATGATGTGATGATGATGTTGACGTGTGCAGGGGGTTACATCCCAGAGTGTGACAGCGAGGGTTACTACCAAGCGACACAGTGCCATGCCGGAGCAGGAGTTTGCTGGTGCGTGGACAGGCACGGCGTCGAACTGCCCAACACACGTACCCGGGGTACCCCTAACTGTGGTACGTGTTTTCCCATGTTGGTATGTTTCCATTACACACACACCACACACACACAGTTGGTATCTCTCCCTTCAATATACACATGAATATATTAATCACTCATATATTTCTCCTACATAATTTCAACCTTTATATTCATACGTCACATATTTAATTTTATACTTATCATAATTACATTTTCAATAAATCTGAGAGAGTATGACTCCCTTTTAAAGTCCTGCTAGGAAAAGGCGTAAACCTTTCCCAGGAAAAATATAGCAGAAACCAGCCACACGTTCAGTCATACAAGAAGGACTGGGCATACGCACAGCCTACAGATTGCCTTGCCAGGAATCTTATTGTCATCCAGAGGATGCAACGAGCTGGCGAAGGAAATTATACCAGAAAATATACGGAATCTGGCGCGGATGGATAATCCCAGCACAGAGAAACCTAGCTGAAACACTGGCTCACAGACAATCCAATTGGGACAGCAATATCATTAAACAAAAAGTTGCTGCAGCGATGTTTGAGGTTGCAAACTCTGCAAGTATAGGAGCACATCTTTTAGCTGTGAATGTAAATCACTCCAGCGACTTTCTCCATACAGTGCCCATTTTTAGCGACTGGCTCATGTCTAGAGCAGCAACATTCAGCCTTTATTCAAACTGAGCACAAGAGCATTTGCAGGAAACTGGTATCTGACCAGTACGGTCTGCAAGGTCTGAACTTTCCAGACTCCTAAAATAGCGAGATAAGATTTTGTTCGGATTTTTAACCAGGTGGGTTAGCCAGCCAGGATAACCCACTAAAGTCAGTGTGTCATCGGGGACTGTCTGCCTTATTTCCACTGAGGTTCATTAATCTTGTCCTCAAGATGCAACCACAACAGTCGGCTAACATCCAGGTTCCTACTTACTGCTAGGTGAAAAGGGACAGCAGGTGTAAGGAAATATGCCTGGAATTAAACCACATGCACTCAGTATGTGAGCTAAGTGTGTTGCCAACTGAGTCACAGTTGCTAAACACAACGAGATTAAGAGAATCCTTGCTACAGCTTTATGTCCAGCCGAGAGAGAATCTCGATCTTTACTACATAACAGGCCTGCCAGCCACCCTAATGGGATCACATTATATTACTGGAAGAATGGTAGGCTACTGGTGTGGTAATATACTTGCACATCTACCCTGGCTGATACATATATTCCTGTTGATCGCAGGAACGATCACAAGCTTAACAAGTAGAGTTACTAAGCCTACCAGTACCACTTTATCACGACAGGATCAGAAACCTTTGGCCCATATAAAAGCATGCCATTAGTGTCCACATCTTATTCTAAGAATTTTTATATTCCTTACAATTCTACATGCATGTAAATGCCTAATCTATTGTACTCATCAATATATAACCATACGTATCACTTCACTGTATCATTTAAAAAAAAGGGTTTTTAAAAATATATAAACTGGGTGGTAGGGCACGAAAGTACTCAAACACCTACAGGGTGAAAATCTAGAAATTTCACCCTACAGCAAAACTTCAATTCTTTTATTTGGCGAGCAAGAAATCACTTCATCAGAGGAGGTGCAGCAGGGTGATCCACTCGCTCAGTTTCTCTTCTGCATGGCGATAAGAGAATTCACTTCCAATTTGCGCAGCGAACTCAGTATCTGGTACCTGGATTATGGCACTCTGGCAGGTACAGAAGAGACCCTTCTAGAGGACCTACAACTAGTGAAGTCACAGGGAGAAGCCTGTGACTTCACCCTCACACTTAGATGGATTAACTCATTCTCAATCCCCCCAAGTGTGAAATCATCACAACAAACCAGAAAATAATTACAACTGTGCGAACAGTCCTTCCTGAAGCCTCAAATACCACCATCTTATAGGGAGCACCGTTGGGTCATCAGGCCATCAACATAGTCCTTAAGAGCAAACTCAATGACCTGAAGAGGATGGAGGAGAGAATAATTGATCTGGATGCCCATGAAGCCCTATATCTCTTCACAAGGAGTCTCTAACTCTGCCAAGACTAACTTATTTCTTGAGGTGTGCACCCTCTTTCGACAACCCAACACTCAGTGAATATGACACTCCTGTGATCTGTCTTTAGAAAAGTATTTAATGTCACTGAAGGATCACCGATGGATCAAGCAACCTTTCCAGTGAGACTGGGAGGTATAGGGGTGCGCAAGGCAACGCAGGTAACATTACCTGTATTTCCGTTTTCGTGTATTGCTTCCAATGAACTAGTTAAGGAGATTGTCCTCAAATGCTTGAGAGGTGCTGTAGGAGCACAAAGTTCATCGAAGCAGCCACGCAGTGGGACACCCTTACAGGGTCTTCAAGCAGACCAGTTCCTCGCAGAGAGCACAAACCGATCGTGGAACAATATCTCAGGAAAGGATAAGACTCGTCTCCTAGCGGTGAAGGCAGCACATTCAGGACATTTCCTTTTAGCTGTTCCTAATTCCTCCTTAGGCACTCAGTTCTACCTGCAGGCTATTCGGATTGGTGTAGCTGTTCGCCTAGCCGCTCCCATACTCACCGAACATAGGTGTATTTACAGAAGGGCATCAGCTGATTAATTTGGTTTACACGGTCTCGTCTGTCATACGTCAGAAGCGATGTATGCCAGACATGAGGTTTGAGTTCCCTTAATTTAGTTGACTTGGTATTCTACATCCTCAAAAGCATATTTGCACCTGCCATTTCCTTATCAGCCTCTTTATATAGGGATTTCAAATGCAGCCACGAGCTGATACAGCGACGTCAGATAAAACTACGTTGAGTAACCTGTATATAGACTGAAAAAATGTCTTGTGTGAGGAACATACTGAAAAGACAAGACCAAATTAGCGTGCTGGGAATATCTTGAGAAATTAATGTTAAAACTGGAATTTTTAGATTCCACCACTCTCTTCGAATGGCATTGTTTATTTTCTCATGAGCTCATCTCTTGCAATGGCTTCATTGTACTAGTCACTGATGTGATTTCGTAGCCCATCCAGACCAACCACTCTAGTCAGCCACAACGTTAATTGCAAATTCTTTAAGTCATATAGACCATCAATATCACTCAGGAATAAGACATAAATGTATTCCCTATCATATAATTACTGGTATCTTATTTTATGCTTCCTGTATATATAAAGTCATGAGTAAGAAATTGGGAGTAACCTTAAAACAATTATACAGACTATTTTTAAGTGTTCTGGTGATTTCTGGTACTTGCGCAAGTTGCACATGTTGCGTCACTTCCTGTTTGCTACATGACCTCCTCTCTTCTTTACTTTCTAAACTCAACTGAAACAATATTTTTCACCATACAGATATTTGTTATTCTACATTAGTGTTAACTACAACAACCTCATACTCTCGTATTATACAAAAATATCTTGTTTTACACAGTAAATGTTAGTTTTTTTTTCAACTTATTTTGAATAGGTCTGATTTATAAGCATAACAAATTGATTGTCAGTAATAACCAGATAACTTTCGTCACAGAAGCGCTAGTGAACAGCGAGGAAGTGAGTAACTACGTTGATGACGATGCGGAGGATGGAGACGACGAGGTGGACATCGTGGAGGGCAGCGCTGACATGCCACTTGACATCTAAGCCAGAGCACTACCTCACTTCCTGGCTGCTTACACCGCCCCAGCTGCCATCGTTGCTTCCTGCCAACATTACACGACACCATCACACCGCCAGCCTCACCACACACACCGCCAAGACCCGTCTCGTGGAGGTCATGATTTTTGTGTTGAAGTGTGACAGAAACACAATGTTGTTAAAAATAAAGTGCAGAGGATCAATTTCTGACACTTGAATCAGTAAGTGGTGATGTACAGGTGTCAATATACCAGCCACACCCTATCGACGGCTGATGGACTGAAGACAGTTTAACATCAGCCACGTCTTATCAGAGTTTGGTGGAGGGTGTAGAGGTGTCAACAGAATACCACGTGTGTGATGGCCCTATAGATCTTAAAATAAAAACACTAATTTAAATACATTACTTATCAGGAAACCATATTACTAAGTTTGATCATATTCTGATGCATTCTTCTTTAGGCTTGGAACAGCTGGGTAACTTACAAGTTTTCATCTCATATTAAAGTTCTGTATATAAATACAAGTTGAATGACAGTGTAAGAATAATGTATATATATATATATATATATATATATATATATATAATATATATATATATATATATATATATATATATATATATAATATATATATATATATATATATATATATATATACATATATATATATATATATATATATATATATATATATATATATATATATATATATATATATATATATGTCGTGCCGAATATGTAAACTGGTCAATTGCAAGAACTCATTTAAAATTAAGCCCTTTCTGAAATTTTCTCTTATACGTTTAAAGATATATTTTTTTCAATAATGTTAATGTAAAAAAATTTAATTTTGCACCAAAAGAATCTTAGAAAACTTACCTAACCTTATTATAACAAGAGCAATTTATTTTAGCCTAACCCAACTAAATATATTTTAAATACGTTTACAATAATTTAGTACTAAACAAACACAATCAAATAGATTTTTTTCGTTAGGTTCAGAATGATTCTGGCGAAATTATTGCATACACAAATTTTCACTTGTCCTATATGGCAAGATGAGCGTTGCTATTTAAGCCAAGTTCGCAAGTTCTGCCTATTCGGCACGACATATATATATATATATATATATATATATATATATATATATATATAATATATATATAATATATATATATTATATATATATATGTACGTATGTATGTATGTATCAGTGGAATCACATAACATGTGATTGATAAAGAGAAAAACTGTATCCTAGTCAGCAGCAGAAGAAAGTTACACTTGCCAAAATAACAGGTTGTTAGGTTAGCTTACTTGACACTAAAGTTTCACACTAATGGTCTGGACGTTTGTACTTTTGGTAGAAGTGCCGTATATAGACATTCCTCAATTTAAATGCTTGGGAGACGTTGTATGTGATTAATGTCTCCATCTTTGTACATAGATTATAAAATAATAAATCCCATATTTATTATAGGAGATTTAAGTTCGGTTATAGAGTGCATGGCCTGTAAGGACCTGAGAGTACACTGTGGCAGGATACAGTGCCTGAATGGCACCTTGCCTTGCACAGCTTCTATACTTTATTTGGAGGCTGGGTGTGTGACCATGCCAGGCTAAACAGCAGCCCTCACCCCCCAGGTGTCTCCTCTCTGGTGTGCTCCAGGATCTGTGTGTGTGCTCTTCCTCTCCTCTCTGATCATGGACGCTAGTGTAGGTGCCAGCGCAGCCCCAACACAACTGCTGGTGGCCCAGTTACCTCTTAGTTGCTCTTCGTCACCCAGATACATGTACTGTTGGTAAACACATCCCACGCGGGTCCACCGCCCACTTGCTTGTTGGCGTTGCCATCCTGTTTCTTATTCGGCGAGTCACTAGCCTGTTCCTGTACGAGGCTGTCGTGTAGAGTTGCTGTCGTCTGCAAGGCCTCTGCTTCCCATGTTCAAGAGGAGTTAATTTTCTCATCCATAGTTCATGACATCTGCAAGGATATGTGTATTGTATATTGCTTTCATTACCTCTGTTGTGTTTGTAATAGAAGCAAAATTTATTTAATGTCCACATTTATATGAGATTGCTGCAGTTTGCACCTGGTTATACATTGGAAGTTATATATAAATTTAAACAATACACACGTTAGATAATGTAATGACTGAGAGAACTCGAGTATATTATAGAAGTGTTGCGTTCATGTGGTCATGCATGGTTCATGTGGTCATGCATGGTTCATGTGGTCATGCATGGTTCATGTTGTCATGCATGGTTCATGTGGTCATGCATGGTTCATGTTGTCATGCATGGTTCATGTGGTCATGCATGGTTCATGTTGTCATGCATGGTTCATATGGTCATGCATGGTTCATGTTGTCATGCATGGTTCATGTTGTCATGCATGGTTCATGTGGTCATGCATGACTCATATGGTCATGCATGGGTCATATGGCCATGCATGGTTCATATGGCCATGCATGGTTCATATGGTAATGCAGGATCATATGGTCATGCATGGTTCATATGGTCATGCATGGCTCACATAGTCATGCATGGTTCATATGGTAATGCATGGTTCAACATAGTTTATGCATGGTTCATATGGTCATGCATGGTTCATATGGTCATGCATGGTTCATATGGTCATGCATGGTTCATATGGTCATGCATGGTTCATATGGTCATGCATGGTTCATATGGTCATGAGGTTCACATGCATGGTTCATATGGTCATGGCAATGGTTCATGTATGGTCATGCATGGTTCATATGGTCATGCATGGTTCATATGGTCATGCATGGTTCATATGGTCATGCTATGGTTCATATGGCATGCATGGTTCATGTGGTCACAGACGACAGGCACTGATCCGGAGTTTTGTAAAACGCTGTGTGTGTTTTTACTCGCAGCGCTGTGTGCTGTACAGAGACGGACGGAAAATATTCACTGGCACCACAACTAGCTAGTCGTCTCATATTATTCTCATTTGTATACATATTGTGATTTTGTTCAACGCTTTGTAAACATTACTCTCCAGAAGCCATAGATTATCTTGGAGAATAAAAGTCACAATACAGTGGCTGGAACAGTTCACAACTAATTCACAAATTGAAGAGAACAACATCCTCTCCAAATTGTGGGTTAGTTGTTAATGTGTATACATTAGCTTGTAAGATTTGTTTGTACTATGTTTGCTCAAAATGAACATTTTCAAGATAAATTGCTTATAGCAAGATTGTTATAAATAATAGTCTTTTCCACAGTCCTGAGGCTACAATTATGAAATACTGCAGTGGTTCCATTGAATATTTACAGTCCTGTTGCATCATCTTAGGGAAACTGGCTCATATATATATACATATATATATATATATATATATATATATATATATATATATATATATATATATATATATATAATATATATATATATATATATATATATATATATATATATATTTAGCCCATACTTATTAATGAACCTTTTATATGGAGAAGATATACTTTGTATTCCTTTGTTGAATGCTTTTATTTATCATAACATGCTGAAGTTGTCAGTGATACACAAAGTCTTCCTGAATTCCAGGTTGGATAATGAAATGGCCGGAGCTTCACGTGACATTGTGGTCACTAGTGACAGTGGCTCCCTGTGTCACTGGTGACAGTGGCTCCCTGTGTCACTGGTGACAGTGGTTCTCTGTGTCACTGGTGACAGTGGTTCCCTGTGTTACTGGTGATAGTGGTTCCCTGTGTTACTGGTGACAGTGGTTCCCTGTGTTACTGGTGACAGTGGTTCCCTGTGTTACTGGTGACAGTGGTTCCCTGTATTACTGGTGACAGTGGTTCCCTGTATTACTGGTGACAGTGGTTCCCTGTGTTACTGGTGACAGTGGTTCCCTGTGTTACTGGTGACAGTGGTTCCCTGTATTACTGGTGACAGTGGTTCCCTGTGATACTGGTGACAGTGGTTCCCTGTGTTACTGGTGATAGTGGTTTCCTGTGTTACTGGTGACAGTGGTTCCCTGTGTTACTGGTGACAGTGGTTCCCTGTGTTACTGGTGACAGTGGTTCCCTGTATTACTGGTGACAGTGGTTCCCTGTGTTACTGGTGACAGTGGTTCCCTGTGATACTGGTGACAGTGGTTCCCTGTGATACTAGTGACAGTGGTTTCCAGTGTCACTGTGATCACTGGTAAGTGGTTCCCAGTGACACTGGTCACTGGTGACAGTGGTTCCCAGTGTCACTGGTCACTGGTGACAGTGGTTCCCTATGAAACTGGTCACTGGTGACAGTGGTTCTCAGTGTCGCTAAGGTCACTGGTGACAGTGGTTGTCACTGTCACTAAGGTCACTGGTGACAGTGGTCCCCGGTGTCACTGGTCACTGGTGACAGTGGCTCCCAGTGTCACTGTGGTCGCTGGTGACAGTGGTTCCCAGTGTCACTGTGGTCACTGGTGACAGTGGCTCCCAGTGCCACCGTGGTCACTGGTGACAGTGGTTCCCAGTGTCACTGATCACTGGTGACATTGATTCCCAGTGTCACTGGTCACTGGTGACAGTGGTTCCCAGTATCACTGTGGTCACTGGTGACAGTGGTTCCTAGTGTCACTGTGGTCACTGATGACGGTGGTTCCCAGTGACACTGTGGTCACTGGTGACAGTGGTTCCCAGTGAAACTGGTCACTGGTGACCGTGGTTCCCGGTGGCACTAGTCACTGGTAAGGGTAGTTCCCAGTAACACTGTGGTCGTTGGTGACAGTGGTTCCCAGTGTCACTGTGGTAACCGGTGACAGTGGTTCCCCGTGACACTGGTCACTGGTAAGGGTGGTTCACAGAGACACTGGTTGTTGGTGACAGTGGTTCCCAGTGTCACTGCTCACTGGTGACAGTGGTTCCCAGTGACACTCTGGTCACTGGTGACAGTGGTTCCCAGTGAAACTGGTCACTAGTGGCTGTGGTTCCCGGTGAAACTAGTCAGTGGTTACAGTGGTTCCCAGTGACACTGGTCACTGGTAAGGGTGGTTCCCAGTGACACTGGTCGTTGGTGACAGTGGTTCCCAGTGACACTGTGGTCACTGGTGACAGTGGTTTCCAATGACACTCATCACTGGTGACAGTATTTCCCAGTGACATTGGTCACTGGTGACAGTGGTTCCCAGTGGCACTCATTACTGGTGACAGTGGTTCCAGTGTCACTGTGGTCACTGGTGACAGTGGTTCCCAGTGACCACAGTGTCACTGGTGACAGTGGTTCATAGTGACACTGGTCACTGGTGACAGTGGTTCCCAATGACACTAGTCACTGGTGACAGTGATTCCCAATGTCACTGTGGTCACTGGTGACAGTGGTTCCCAGTGTCACTGTGGTCACCAGTGACTGGCTCCCAGTGACCACAGCGTCACTGGTGACAGTGGTTCCTAGTGACACTTGTCACTGGTTCCCAGCGCCACTGTGGTAACTGGTAACGGTGGTTCCCAATGACACTGTGGTCACTGGTGACAGTGGTTCTCAGTGACACTGTGTGCACTGTTGTCACTGGTTACTCTGTACTCCAGGTTACACTTTG